TTTCCCAGGAAACTGAACCTTTTTCCTCAAGACAGACCAACAGGTGACTTACAAGGATAAGACCTGACAGGAGAAGCAGGTCTGGAGAGACAGTTCGCATCAGACAAAAGGCAGAGAAGGGCCTCCCTGTTCCCAGCACCTCTCCCGCTAAGGTTAGACGATGTTTCCTTTTCAGTGATTCCACTTTGATTCAAAGTCTAAAAGCTGTGGTAGGAGTGGGAATCCATACATGAATAGTGTGATATCAGAAATGGTTAACAGCAAGAGCTGTGAAGAAGCAAGAGCTCACAAACTGAGCCAGTGTCTACTCACTATTCAGCTTGTTACGTATTTTTTCTCATTTAATAATGACAGTAATGCTGCACCCTACTACTCCACGGGAAACTGAGGCTTCAGCAGATGAAGTAATTGGAACCAAGAGTGATGCGCTTTTGTATTAAAAGTGAACCTAGAACACATTACAACTAAAGTATACTGCTTGAGTTGGACGGCCAGGAGAAGCAGGAGCATGCCCCGAAGAACCAAAAGGAAGTATCCCCCTTAAAACACAATTTCCACCCACTGTCAGGTGTGCACAGGGGTGGCTCTAGCAATGATCGACTCAATACCATCAATACCATGACCAACCTGCTGTGTTTGGTGTGACTAAATCTACCACACTAAAGGATTCCTGGCCACCCAGCCCACTGAGAAGGCTGTGTGTCAGTCACGACTGTTGATTAAGGCGGAAAAGCCTGGGCGAGAATGCTCTTTCAGACTGAGTACCACAGTCAGGGACAGGTCTTTAGGGCAGACACAGCGGTGACTGTAGGCTGTGCAAGGACGGGGCACGCATGGCGACAAGGAAGGGCTCACGAAGATCCCAAAGGACAGGAGGGGCTCAGCTCTTAGGTGGCAGAGAACAAGTGCGTCACCAGAAGAGCTAAGGCAGAGAAGCTTCTGGAAGTGGCACTGGAGAGGAAAACATAGGAAAGGAACTTGTGAAAAGTGAAATCAGAGACGTCTTGATTCACAACTGCATTAAGAAGTTTGAACCTGAACTGGAGACAGTAGGGGAGGACTCTACCAGGGGACCTGAAGAGAGGACATGTTCCTGGATGAATGCTCTTGCATGGAGAGCTAATTCCAATCCTTTCCTAACTCTTTCACAATGGCTTTCAATTTATATAATTAAAATATTAGCAAAGACATGATTTAAGATCTAAATAATTTCTAATTCCATTATTATCAATTCTAACTCCACTACGCATAAACCGGACTTCACCAAAATTGAAAATTTCTGTGCTTCAAGGTCACTATTAAGAAAATGGAAAACATCTCACAGAATGGGAGAGTTATTTTGCAAATTTTTTCTGATAAAGCATTGTATCTAGAATATGTATAACTCATAACATTAAAGAGATAACCCAATTTTAAAATGGGGAAAGCACCTAAACTGATCTTTCTCCAAAAACATATACAACTGTCCACGAATCACACAGATTATGCTAGACTTCACTAGTCATTACAGAAATGCAAATCAAAACCACAGTGGGATACTACATCACACCCACTAGGATGGCTAGAATCTAAAAGTCAGAGTAACTAGCTTTGGCCAGGATATGGGAAAATTTAAACCATTAACCATAATGGTTAATAGCAATGAGAAATATTACAACTGCTTCAGAAGATAGTCCGGCAGTTCCTCAAAAGGTGAAACAGAGTTACCATATGACCCAGCAATTTGACTCCTAGGTCTATACCCAAGAGAAATGAAAACATATGTCCACACAGAAACACTTACACATGCCCAGAACAGCATTGTTTATAATAGGCCAAAAGGGAAACGCCCAGATATCATAACTGATGGTTAAACAAAGCATGGCATATATATGATACATATACAAATATTAAATATACATAATAATATATGCTCCTAGATACGTAATTCCTGAAAACATCATACTTAATAAAGCATACCCACAAAAGATCACGTACTTCATGATTCCATTTACCTGAAATGTCTACAACATGCAAATCCATAGACAGGAAGGAGACTGGAAGCCTAAAGCAAGGGACGGGAAGGGCACAGTTGGGGTGGGGACTCCGAGGAACTGCTAATGGGAGTGGGATTCTTTGGTGGCTGATTTAAAGGTCCTGAAGTTGTGGTGATGGCTGCACAAATCTGAATATGCTAAAAGCCTCTGAACTGCACACTTTAAATGGGTGAATTGGAGAGTGTGTGAATTATATCTCACTAACATCGTTATAAAGCAGAAAAGATTCCATTATGCACTGTTGGAAGACATAATAAGCTGGCAAAAGGAGTACAGAATCTTGTTCCCTCACTTTAGAGCATCCAAACTAGGGCAATGAAAACCCAGAGAGATTCTATTACTTAACATTCTAGGTACTAGGTCATACTGAAATATTCATGAGGATTTCCACGTTTTAATACAGAAAAGGCATCTTAACATTAAAAAGACATACTCACAAATGTCAGGAAAGAGTAGGGTAACAGAGGGAAGTCATCAAATGAAAACAAATATGGATTTATACACTGAATAAGAGAGCATCCAAATAATTGTTCCACCTCTGAAATAATCAAAGGGGAAACAAATCAATTAAAATATTTCTAAAGCAACAGTTTTGATAAACCCACAATTTTAAGAACTAAATATTTTACCTTCGTAAAAAACTGGATTTCCACATTTCCAGTTATATAACTAAGAACTAATAATGTATCCTTTTGAACATTCCATTTCATCGGTATTTAAATGACTTTTCTCCTCATCACTGGAGTGGATCCGAAAGTGAGAGATATATTACACATAAAACTTTAATTGAAAAAATCTAGCAATGTTTTTAAAATGCTATTTGTGAACCCCGTATATAATTCTAAACTACATATCAAGTAATAAACATGAAGACTGATTAGCAAAACCCACAGGTAAAGCAAATAATTCTGAAAAATTCAATACTGTGTGCAATGATATCTCATTTGTATTTGCTAAAATTCATTAGGCTTTAAGATAACTTCCACAAATATCCAAAAGCAAACAGAGACAAGGCACATTCCAAATTTGTCAAAAAGGTGTGTACTGACCTTTAAACCAATCTTTGTTCAATCCTCAGTACACATGACTATCACCTATCACAAAATACCCTGAAGTCTAACCTATAACATAATTCCGGTGTATTTCATTTTCCTTTCCGGTTTATGCAATTTCTCAGACCCAATGATCACTATGAGGCTTCATATCTAATCACAGTGACTCTGAAATATATTTCCAAGGCAAAAATATTAGTTTTCTGAAACATACAGAATTCCAAAATAGATTCCCCCACTTTTTCAGTTTTACAGGGAAGGTATTAGTGAAGTAAATATAAACAGATAACTACCCTGAAAAGAAGATACAAAGCAACTGCTTATACTTCATCATGTTTCTGTTCTAGCTCACCCTGGTGTCTGGATAGCGTTCTGCCAGATCAGGACAATGAAATGCATTATGCTATAGAGTGACTAAGTCCCACAAGTACCGCTTTAGAATACAACCAAGCAGGAAGGCTGCGGGGTACACGGACCTAATATGTGGGGGAAATGTTTCCAGAAGTAAATATACTCACCACCCAGTACTAGTTTAAAAAAAAAAAAAAAAACACGCACTATAGTCAACTCTCCTTAAATGATACATAGGAAAGAAAGGTCTTTTATTATCTTGCTCCAGGGGGAAATGAACAACTTGCAATTTGCTTCTCACTCGGAATCCCACGTTTGCAACATGTAGAGCAGGAGCTTCAGACACCACAAACCGAGGGCAGCCTACATGAAGGCCAAATATAGGATGCGATTCTAAACCATGATGCAGTAAAGCCTACGTTTCCTTTTCCAGCAATCAAAACCCTTTGAACACTCCCAAAAAAGGACGGCCGGGCCAGCGCCTCGCTCCAAGAGGAAGCCCCTTTCTTCTCGGCTCTCCCAGCAGCCTGCCACTTCCCCCAACACATTCAGATCATTTGCGAGACGGAGGGCTCGTGTGTGCGCCTGTGTGCACAGGCGGGAGAGCTCGGTTCCCGCACGTCCACCCTCAACATCTGACCTCACCGCCAGTCATCCAGGCGCAGCGGAGCCCCACCTGCACCTCTCGCCGCGTCCCTCTCCAGCTGCTCGGCGATTAGGGGACTACACCTCCGATCACTCGGCTCACGCCGCCGCTCCAGGCCCCCAGCCCCGCGGTGTTCCCGCTCCCTTCTTCCTCTTCCCACCCCGCCACCCCGCCAGCCCCTACGCTCCCAGCAGGGCTCATCTTCTTTCCCAGCCGACCCCCACCCACATTACTCCACTCCAGTCCTGCCCCGCCCTTCCCGGCCCTCAACCCCGATCTCCCCGGCCCCGAACTCGCACCGCACTTACAGCCAGGCGACCCCGGGGCCAGACAGCCGCCCTCGCCCCTCCCACGCAGGGCCCAGCTAGCCCGGGCCCACGTGAGCCCGGCCCCTGCCCACCCCCCACCCAGCGCTCGCTGGCTCCCCAGGGCGGCTCTAACCCCGCCCCCAGGCCTGGCGCCCCGGGGCTCAGCGCCCAACACTGGGGCAGCCCCCTCCCACCAACACCGCACCCAACCCGGCGAGTCCCTGAGCCACGGAACCTTCCTCGGACAGCCGGGTCCCCCCTCGACCCGCAGCTACTCATCCAGGCAGGCGGGTTCGCAGCCCTAAACGCTGTCCCTGGGCAACCTCCTCCCAACAGGGACCCCGGTTCCCTCTCCCCAGGGCAAGGGTTTCAGTCCCCAGCTCCCCCCACCCCGGACCCCGAGCCTCCGGCAGCGGCCCGGGCCACAACCCCTGCACACTGGCCAGGGCGGGCCCCCGGCCCAAGGCGCGCCCCACGCTTCCACCCCAGCACCCGGCCCTGCCCCACGCCCTGCCCGCTCCTGTCAGCCGGCGCCGGCACATGCTGAGAGGGCAGGTCCTCCCGCTCGCTCGTTCCCGAGCGGTCCCGCCCGGCGCGCGCTGCTCACCAGGGCCGAGGTGCCTGTGGCGCCGCCGAAGTCCCCGCTGCAAAACCCGGCGAAGCCTCCAACCGCTGCCGCCTCCCGCCTGGCACTGAGCTCCGCGCGGGGGAGGGGCGCGAACAGCCGCCACCGCCCCCGCCGCGC